GCAGGCGCTGCGGCCCCGCCACCTCCGCTCCGTCCTGCTGGCCGATCACCTGGCCCAGCTGCTGCGCGCCCAGGGGTGAGTGCCACCGTCCCGACCTGCTCCCGGCCCCTCGCCACAGCGCCTGCTGCTCCCAGTGCCTGTCTCACCCTCTCTCGCAGGGTCGGCGTCCGCCTGGTCCCTGCCCTCAGCGAGGAGAGGAGCTGGGACGTCCTGCGACAGCTCCGCATCTGCTGGCCCTCCGCCTCCGGTAGCTCGTCCCTCACTGACGCCGTCTCAGCCTTGAAGGCAGCGTTGTGCCGGTGCCCCTGTGCCTCAGCCTGTGATCGGGTGCCGGGCACAGCCCAGGGTGTCATCTGTAAGGTGCACCTGAAGAGCTTCGTGGAGCAGCAGGGCTTGTTGGGTTACGACCCCAATCTAGATGTGCTGCTCGGTGAGCCTTAACAAAAATAAGGCGGGGGGGATGTACACAAATGGCTTTCCCCTCTTGTTCCCAGTGGTGGGGGGGTGGAGAACCCCGTGGCTCACTGGTGTCCCTCCTTCTTTCAGTGACAGAGGGGACACTGCAGTCCTTGGCTGAGCTGCAGGAAGCTGTGCTGCAGTGCCCAGTGAGTGACCCCATGGCACTGCCTGCCTCCCACTTCCCAAGTGACCTTCCCTTCTGCCAGGCAATAGGATTGAGCTTCCTGTTGTGCTCTACTGCAGGCCAAAGGCCAGAGCAGTTGTTGCAGCATTGTGCATGTGGTGAACTGTGAGGAGGAATTCCAGCAGCAGCAGCTGGATGTGCTCTGGAGGATTTTGGATCCAGGAGCTCACACAGCTTTGCAGGTGAGCAAGAGCAACCTCTGAACCTCCTCATGTGGGCCCCAACATCCACCCTTGGCTCATGACTAGGTTTAGAACAGGGCTGCATTTCACTCAGTTCCCAGCCTCAGCCTCTCTGTCTTTCAGAAACACCTTGTCTGTGGGCCAGTGAAGGTGACCAACCCCTCATCGCCCATTGGGGCAGACCAGTACTTCCAGTAAGTTGGTGTGCAAGGCACCTGCTGTTTTCTCTCCTTCTAAGGCTCCCTGTGGGGCAGCTCAGCCCACAGTGGGTGGTTCTGTCTCTCTGTTTCTCCCAGGCTCCGAAAGCGCCAGATGCATGAAGCCTCTGTGATAAAGTATGGGGAGCTTGCACAAGGTGAGAGTTTGCTCTGGGGCTCCATGCGTAGATGCTGCTCCATCCCATCTCCATTGTTCCTGTTAGTCCACAGCCAGGGGTGGCTGCACCCCTGCGGGCTGCTCCTTCTCCCCTCCAGGATCAAGCCAAGTGCTGCCCTTGCTTTGGGAAGGCATCTAAACATCCAGGGCACTGGCACAGAGAAACTCCTTCCAATAGGAGCCAGGGCCAGTGGTGTAGTGGTCCACAACTACTACCTGGTCCTGGCAGGGGTGTCCTGCCTGGGTGCTGGGGGTATCAGTATATGGGAATGGAGCGAACTGTTCACAATAGCATCTACATTCTCCACAGATAAGGCCTGGACAGAGGTGATTGATACCCTGACAGTGGCTGCCATCAGGTTTGAGATGCTGAGCACTGCCCACCGGAGTCAGGTAGGACAGCAACTTGCATGGAGCCAGGGCTGGCAGGTTGTGGGAACAGCGGAGTGGATCTGTGTTGAGCAGCCTGGACTGTGACTTCTCCCTGCCCTCAGATCACCCTGGACCTGGAGAACAGCAGCATCTCCACAAAGGGAACAAAGAGCGGTGCCTTTGTGATGTACAACTGTGCCCGACTGGCCACACTCTTTAACACCTTCCAGCAGGCTGTGGAGCGGGGTGAGCACCAGCCCCACCACCCTCCTCTGACAGCCACACCTGGAGCCACAGGGGCTTCTTTGGGCACAACAGTCTCCCTGCTTTCCAGGCACATACCCACCTCTGCCACCAGCATCTGAACTGAATTTCTCCTGCCTCCGAGAAGAGGTGGGTGCTGAGAGGAGGAATGGGGGGATCTGTGCACCCTCAGCTCTGGTAATGGATGGGCCCAGGAGGATCTGACACTGAGACACATGATCCCTTTACAGGGAGAATGGCTCCTGCTCTTCAACTATCTCCTCCCCTTCCCGGAAGTCCTGCAGCAGGCAGCACAGCTGCCCCCACCTTCCAAGGGGATCCGTATCACTGCCAACACAGAAACAGTAAGTACCATGTGCTATAGCATCTGTGGATGCTGCTCCAGCAGTCCCAGCCCAGGGAAAAGCTCCATGCCAGCAGGTGCTGCCCATCAGTGAGCAACACAGGGCCAGTGCTGATAAAATAGATTGCAATGCCCCTGCAGCATTCCTGCTGTGCTTGGGGTGGGTTCAAGACCAGCCAGAATTCACTGTGCCATGAGAATGTCTCTGCCTTGCAGGTGTGCAAGTTCCTGATCCAGCTCAGCATGGATTTCAGCTCTTACTACAACCGGGTGCACATCCTGGGGGTGAGTTAGGTGTCTCAGCCTGCAGCTTTGTGGCCCTGCAGTCCTTTTGGGGCTGCACTGCAGTTGGGGGGAAGTCATGTGGGGAATGGTGCCAGCAGTGTGATGGCCCCTTGTCCCATCCTCCAGGGGTGCACAGGCACCAACGGATTCAGGGCCAGCCCCAAGCTGCCGCCTTTCTCCCTGCAGGAGCCGTTCCCTCATCTCTTTGACCAGATGTTTGCCCGCCTCCAGCTGCTGGGAGCAGTCAGGGATGTGTTCCACAGCGCATTGGCAACCCTGCACCTTCCTCCTCTCAGCCAGATCTGAGCCATCCCTGAAGAGCTGTACCATGCTGTAACAGTCACCTACATACTACATGTGGGAGGAGAACGAGGCACGTTCTCCTGGCAGGGCAAGGGGCTGCCCCAGTGGCAGGCAAGGCCAAATTCAGCCCCACACAGGCCCCTTCCTTCCCATAGCCCATGGTCTTTGGGGCTAGGTCTGTGCTCTCTGCAGCTGTGTCCAGTGTGGGACATGGATATGCCTCTTCACACCAGCAGAAAAGGGCTCCTGTGGCACCCCAGGAGCTGTGCTGGGAGTACTGGGGAGGTGGCACTAGGGACCAGATGCCACAAAACCAGACAGACACCAACTTCACTTCCTTCAAAACTTTATTGAAGGGTGCTCCGTGCTGGCAGGGAGCTCCTGACGCTCCAGGCCCCTACTGGGCTCTGAGCCAGGCCCCAGCACTGGGGTCCAATACACTTGTTGCTGGACAAAAAATCTGTGTGTCTGACCTCAGGGTTGTCTGTCTTTCCTTCAGTCTGACTGCCCTGGGTCCTGCTGCTGTGTAGGAACAGCCCACTTGGCCTGAGATGGGTGGCATTTGTCGTCAGCCCAGCCATCACTCATGCCACAGGGTGCTGCTGTGGAGAATCAGCATCCCTGTCCATTTCAGCACCATCCTGAGCACTGCAGGGTCAAGACTGTCATATAGGGCCCTGTCCCAGGACACACAAGGCTGCAGCCCACCATGTGTCACACCAGTGCCTGACCCTTGCTGGCCACCTGCTGCTCTCAAGCTCCCAGGGCCAGGCCATGTCCTCAGTGCCCTCCCAAGCAAGGTTCTTCTCTGAGACCAAGTCTGGAAAGCTAACATGGGTCCTTCGTACCTTGGAGAGGAAGAACTGCTCTTGGGCAGTGGGGATCCACAACCCCACTTCTTTACTGCATGGGGAAGCCCCAGGCTTGTCCAGGAGGGATCATACCTGCCTTCTTCTCAGAGACCACTGGCCCTGAGCACCACAACTGTGGCATGTGCCACAGTGATGGGCAGAGCCCAAGTGCAAGATGCCCTCCAAATGCAGGCAGGGACCTGGATGTGTCACACACCTGCCCCATTACTGGGGAGCCTCTTGAGGAGGAGGTTTGGAGGAGGCTGTGCCACACAGCATCTCCAGGCCCTGCCCACAGAGCACACAGTAGTACCACAGCTCCCCCCCAGCCTCCACCTCCCAGCAGTCCAGCTCGGCTAGGTCAGGCACATGGAAGAAGGTAGTGCTGAGGGGCACCAGCTCGCCCGGGCGCTGGTTCCACAGCGTCAGGCGTTGGTCCACTGAGGCAGAGAGCAGCAGATCTGGCCGCAGCACCCGGATCCCCGTCACATGAGCAGCATGAGCACAAGGCCTGGACACTCGCTCCAGGACCTGCAAGCAGGTCCCTGCTATAGCCTCACCCCTGCCCAGGGCAACCTCCAGCAGGCAGACATGGATGGAGCCATCATCACTGCCGCTGGCCACCAGGTACCGTCCCTCGGGTGTCTCGTGGATGTGAAGGCTGTTCACGCCGCAGCTGTGGGCCATGACGGTGACCAGTGGGGTGTCCAGGGCTGGGTAAACAGGCTTGGTCAGGAAAGCAATGCTCACCTTGGTCAGAGGGAGCAGAAGAGCTGCCAGACAGCAGCACTCACCCAAGGGCTGCATCTCTCCCTCTGCTTGGTGCAGGGCATCCACCGCATCCGTGATGGGGCCGGTGATGTCCCAAAAGGCAATGCTGCCATCAGTGGCTGCACTGCACAGGAGGTGCCTCCTAGAATGGGGGTGTAGGGGGATTCTCTGGCTGCATCCCTGAGGGTCCCACTGAGATCCATGGAAGTGGCAGAACAGCCCCTAGGGATTAACTTCTCCCTTCCCTCCTCCTACTGAGCTGCCTTTTGTGACGCCTGTGATGACAGACATTTCTCCCCAGAGCCCATCAGCTACAGCCCAGCATTTGGGGCTCACCTTTCCCCTCCTGCCCATGTGTGCAGGAACGCCTCTACCTTCAGCACACAGCGCTGGTGGTGAAATGACTCTGCTACCAGCACCAACTTCCGAGCAGCCTCCAGCAGCCCAAAGATCCTGTAATGGAGCAGAGGGCAGTTGGCTGTGGGAGAGTAGGAGATTCTGGCACCACTGCCCCATTTCCTACCATGTGCTGTCTTATGCACAGCTCAGAACAGGCCACATCCACAGCAGCAACGTCCTGTGTGGAGCCTGCTCTGCTGCCATCACCAGCTCCATTCTCCATCAGGCCCCATGATGGCTCCTCACCGGACTGATCCATCACTGCAAGCAGCAGCCAGGAACTTCCAGGATGTTGGCAGCTGCTTGGTGCTGGTCCCAGGCACAACCGACAGGGACATGTACCTGCAGCAAAGACACAACACTCACCAACACCTCTGTGGCTCCATGGAGGTGGGTGGCCCAGGAGAGCAGCCCTGAGTGTTTCCCTAACACCAAATACCCCTGGAGGCCCACAGGACACTGTACAGGAATCACACATGAAGCCATGCTGGCCCTGTCTGCCTCAGCTGAACCCGCAGCTGCACAGAGCAGGTATTCCAGTGGAGGCCCATACAGTTCCCAACACCCTCCCACACTGTGATCACTACTAACCCTGCCTTGGGCAGTCCCTGAGCATCACCTCGTCTCTGGGTCCATCTTGATAAGCTTGTGCCTGTTCTTCTTCTGCTCCCAGTGCTTGTCCAGCCGGTGGGAGGCCACATGGATGACCTGGCAGGCCACAGCACTTTCAGACGCTGTGTCTCCAGTGCACAGCAGCCGGTAGCACTCAATCTGTGCACGGCCGCCCGCAGTGAAGAGCAGGGCAGACAAGCCCTCATCACCAAAGCCCTCATCTCCAGGTCCTGTGGCGAATGCCAACGTCCTTACACTGGAAATATGGTCACTGATGCGGGCAAGGGGAACAGCTGCCCGCGAGTTCTCACTGAGAACCAGGACACAGGCCGTGGTGTCCTCACTGCCAGTGACAAACACATTAAAGGTGGGATGGCCGGGCACCTCCACAGCCCCCAGGCGCCGCACGCAGGTGATCTCCCGTCCGTGCAGGGATGCCAGCAGCACTTGCTGCTCGCAGGGCTCAGCCTCACAGTGGTACAGCATCACATCCCCAGACTTGATAAAGGCAAACATTTCGGCCAAGGGACTGCTGCAATAGCTCCAGGAGCGGTGCCCACCCCCACAGGGGATGCGGTGGATATTCTCGCCGATCCTGGTGCTCCACACTACGAAGTGGTCAGCATGAAAGCCCAGCACAAGCAGGTCTCCATCTGAGGTGAAGCGCAGCTCCTCAATCCACTGCAACCCTTTGCAGGGCCTGTGCTTCTGCAGGACCTCCAGCTGATGGTCCCACAAGCGGAGCTGGCGGTAGACACCATCCCGGCCAGTGCTGTAAATATAGCCCCCATGGATGGTCACTGAAGTAACTCCTGTCTTCCCGTGGAGTCCAAAGAGCACTGACAGTGGGGACTCAAGAGGAAAAGCCTCTTTGTGCAACAAGCAAGAGGGCTCCAACTCGTTGCTGGAGTCCTCAACAACCGGGTCACTGCCACCATTGACAATGCTGGTGCTTTCTGCAGCCCACTCCGAGGAGCTGTTGCAAGAGAAAAGGAGAAGGGAGCCCCGGCGGTCCCCGCAGACCAGGAGCCTTTCCTGGGGCAGAAAGGCAGCACAGGTGTGCCAGCACTGCCTGCAGGAGGGCAGCAGGTACCGACCCATGAGCCGCACCCAGGGTGCCTGGCCTGGGCGGTGGGTGACGTCCAGCCAGAGCATCTCCCCGTCGGGCCCGGAGGCCAGAAGGGCAGCAGCGGTGTTGGGGGGCACTCCGGGACGGGGGGCCCAGCTCAGCCCGTGCACGGGCCCCTCGAACAGCCTCAGTTTTGCGGCGGCCCCGGGGCGGCTCAAGGCGAAAAGGAGAAGGCGCCCGTCGCCGCCGGCCACGGCACACAGCGTCTCGTCCCATACG